GGATGATGATGGAGCAGTGAATCCCAATTGGATACTACCAGACAGCAAATCATCATGTAACCTAATTGTGAATGTGAACCTGCTAAAGAACATCAGGAGGGCACCAAACGGACAGATAACAAACATCTCCTGCAATTCAGGAGTGGCACACAACAACACAATTGGGGACCTACCCAGTTTTGGTGAATTATGGTTTTACAAGGAAGGATACCAAACATGTTGTCCCCCCTTGCACCAGTGTCCAACCAATTCAGGGTGACAATGAACACTGACTATGACAATGCTCTACATGTGCACAAGGCTGATGGAGGAACGCGCAGGTTCAGCTGGTCCAAATGCGACCTGTACTATTGCAACATGACAAAGAACAATGCAACAGTGCTAACCATCACCTCTGTGGAGGGGCGTCAATCTGAGTTCTCAGACCCTGATTGTCCCCAGTCAATAAAAGCTACTAGGAAGCTACAGGAGACCATGGGGTTTCCAACATCAAGGGACCTCATACACATGACTGAAAATAAACTTGTGATCAATTGCAGTGTCGCACGATGCAATGTGCAAAACACAGGGCTCATTTATAGCAAGCACACCAGCATTGTTAAAGGCAAGACAGTGCACTGACCAGGAAGTCACATCCAGGAGGACGTGTCACCAGTGCCACCAGATGTACTGGAACGGTATGGGAACGTGATGATCCATGTGGATGTGTTCACAGTCAATGGAATACAATTTTTTCATGCTATAGCCAGGCATCTGCATTGAGGAACCACAAGAGCAATGACCAACTTGAGGTAATCAACTCTACTTGACTGCATGGAGGGCCTGATTGGGCAGTACAAAACTCAAGGTTTCACAGTAATGAGTTAGCAGGGACAATCAGTTTGAATGTCTGCAAGATGACCTACAAAAAATAATCCCCACCAGCAGTTGAATTGCACTGTGTGGCTGCAGGGCAGCATGAACCAACTGTGGAGAGGAGCAACTGGACATTGAAGAAGACTGTATGATGCTATGTAAATCACCTACCTTTCAAGAAAGTTCCAAGGCGTTGCCTAATTGAGCCAATATATGCTGCAACATATTGGCTGAACTGTTGCACAACAGGCATACATAGGAAAAAATCTATACAGGAGCTGATGACAGGAGTGTGTTTGGACACAGGGCAAGAGTGCAAGTTTCAGTTCATGGAACCCATCCTGGTCCATGTGAATGACACAGACAACACAATGAAGGCAAGAGCAGTATATGCACTGTACCTCAGGCCAACAGGCTCAATTACAGGGGGGTTCTATGCTTTTGACATAAACAGCTGCAAGCAAATTCACTGCAAGTCAGCAACAGCAACACCACTCACCAAGACAATGCTTAAACAAGTGACACAATTGCAGAGGGACAGAAGATGCCAAGGGGAGTATGTTTGGGCAATTCTGAAGGGAGCACAACCATCTTGGATCTGGACAATAGCCCCAATATAGACAATGATGACATATCTGATGGCATGTACCAAGAACAGGACAACGACAAAGGATCAGTGGATATCACACTGACTGATTACATTGATGAGGATACTAGGGAAGATGCTAGTACAGTAGCTGACATGGATGACCTGCAGGTGGACATCACAGTTGACATAGATGTCATACATTGATTCAGCAACAATATCCTTGCCTCCAATCATACTATAGATGTGAATGTTGTGGCTTGAAAGGTCTTCTGGCTTAATTGGAGGCTTGATCAGTAAGCAAGAGTTGGATAGAAGTCTAGGTAGAGCCATCTTGGTGATGGTTATTTCACATACCATCTTGAGTTTAGTAATTACTGTGCACCAACTATGTGATCTAGGTATGGTATTTAGATGATTTGAATTATACAGATTAAGCTAGAAAGTAATTGAATATGAATTTGATATGAGTTGCATGATTGGAGTTCTGGACATCCAACCCTGGACTTGACTTGAAACATCCAAAAGGGTATTGGCTGGTTTTGGCATCTTATCTATGCTTTTGGTTTTGTGCAATCACTGGCTTGCTTGTGGGCCCTGTTCTTGCTGCAGAAATAAGCATACACATGAATAAAAATTATTTTTGCACATGAAAATTACAAGTCTATTAACACAGGAAACAAAATATTGACAATGGTAGTACGGTGCACCTCTTTTGAACAAGAACGACCAATACAGAAACATTCTCTACAGATATATTAAAAAAATTATGATAAAGCTCTTAGTCTTAGCTTCCTATACCTGCAATTTGCGTGCTTAAATGACCATAACCCAACTAATGGTAAAATCACATTGATATGCAAAAAAAGGCCCTGTTTAAGTAATTATTGCGAGTACACCAGTCGCTTTCACTTAACATAATATTTATAACTGGATAAATTTATAACATGCCTCTCAAGAACAAAAAGAAGCATTCTAATCAGCAGTAAATTGAGCCTGTTTCAACCATAGAGGTGCAAATCGGACACTTGTTTCTTGATGGAGGAGGTAGTAAATTGATTCAGATTGAATGAAGTATCTGATTCAGGCTCGGATTGTGTTGTATTCCAAATGAAGTATCCTCTGGTACAGGCTTGTATTATGTTGTATTCCAAATGATTCTGGGTACTAATATCTTTTTTAGAATCTTTAAATGAAATAAAAAATGTTACTGAAAAGGTTCTTCTGTTTTAAGTAGTAGTAGATGGTCATAGTAAAGACAATGGTTACTTGTGGGTTCTTCTTTAATAGTTAAATCAATAGGTGGTAATGGTTCAAATCTGTATAAATAAAAGGAAAATATTGTTACTAATGGCTTCTTCTTTAATTAATCAATAGGTGGTCATGATTTGAATCTCCTTAATTGTGAAAATAGTTGTTAACTTTGCTGCCTTCAATCAGAGGTATGTAGGTGGTGCACGCACCCACCAAAATCAGAATGTTGAAGCCAAACATCCCAGGTATCTGTGGAGTTGTTCTGGATACTGGTAGCAATTATTTATCTGGGACAATAGGAGACAGTGTAATTACACTTACTGGAAGCTACCAGACCTCTGACTAGTTTGACCCAATTGGCCACTATTAGCGTTGGTGAGTAGACCTCCTAAATGGGATTAAAAGTTCTTGCTAGCAGTATGACACATGGTTGTTTGCATAAAGGCTATAATGGAGACATTGGGGGGTTGCAGGAAACAATTTTCATTCAAGTCAAAATTTTGTAGCTCTTTTCTGGTAGATTTATGGTACAAACATACTACCTCCTTTCCTAAATTATGGTACAGTTTGCACCTCTTGGGTTGGATTAAGCTCAATATTTGGGCAATTTGAATGCTTCTTTTTTATTATGTTGATCTTATTTAATAATATTTGAATGTGTTATGCCTTTTTATGTCATACCAGCAGCAATAAAGGATTAAGCTTCAAAGAGGCCTATTCTTTCATATCAATATGATAATCAGTTGGGTTTTACCAGTCATTTAGGTAGCTACAAGACTTGCAGCAATATAAAGCCAAGATTAAGTATTTTAGAAGGCCAGTATTCTCATTAGTAGTAGTAGTAGTGGATATGGTAGAGGCATAGTCAATATGTGGTAGAAACAAAGTCAATAGATGGTACCCTATTGGCACATGCCACACCATACATAAGGGGTCTGGGAAAGCTACTAAAAATTACTAACATTAAATCAGATGTCAATCTGATTTAAATCTGATTTTAGTACTACTATTTCTTTTCTACTACTACTACTACTACTAGTACTAGTAGTCAATTTGCAGTTGAATTCTGGTAGCAAAAAAACTTGAATTTTAGAAAAATGGTTTCCTGGAACCCCCAATATTCATAATCAGGTTACTTGTACTACTATGCTTACATAGGCGATGCACAGAACTGATCTTGCACACATCCTGCATGCACACTTCTTGTTGTAGCAACAGTCTATGCTAGTCAAAGTAGTCAGAGATCTGGTAGCTTCCAGTACTTAGAATTATGCTGGGCCCTCCGGAACCAACACGTGTGTGTCCCCCCTTTGAAATCTAATATCGGGGGTATGATTTCGTGTTTTTTTTTTCAAATAAAAAAACCCACGTTTCTAAAACGTGGGTTATTTTTCACAAAAAATAACCCATGTTTTAAAATGTGGGTTCTTGGGTTCCTGGGTTAACCCACAAATAACCCATGAATAACCCAAGAAAAACCCACAAACCTGCTGGTGGTGGGCCTTTTTCCAAAAATTAAAAACAGTGATTAATAACGTTAATGACTAAAATACTTAACATCCTTGGTTCTCCATCAACCCAGATGACTGTAAATTYGTGGGTTATTCGTGGGTTCTTTCGTGGGTTCTTTTGTGGGTTATTTGTGGGTTCCTGGGTTCTTTCATGGGTTATTTTTCAAATTAAAAAACCCACGTTTTTCTAGGGGAGGAATTCGAAAAGGGGGATGTGCGCGTGGGTACCGGAAGGCCCTTTTTCATGTCTTCCCAGGCGTTGTTTCTTCCGAGTTCAACCAAAATACCACCATTCTAACCGACATAACGGAAGAATTGTGCGCCTATGTTAAAATGGCGCGTTGGTCTGTCCTGTTACTACTGCGAACTGACATGGCGCTGGTTCGGTTTTTGATCGGCCTAAATTGAACCGAACCTAACCAACCACCAACCATGACGTGTAAGAATATGTGGAGTGTGACATTCTTTCTAAAACACGCGGTCGGAGTCATCCCTGCTCGCATTTCGTACTTGGGCGGTGTAAGTGGCAGTTAAAGTTTTTTTTAAACAGTACATTCCATTGGCTCGTTCGTGGTTTCAGCGGGTATTTGCATCTTGTTTCGCTGAAAATGATAGGGATAAAACCGTTCGTTAATGCACAAGCCCAGCAAAAGATTTCACGGGGCGTTGAAATGAAAAGTTCAGCCTACATTGTTGCTGTTGCTCTTGTCTCCCGACTCAGTAGTGCAATCGATATTGTTGTTCCCCTGTTCTATCCATCGCATCACGACCTAACCTTGCTATATTGTGATCTTGTATGGTGTCTCCGGTAGAGACTGCTGGTATAGCCACTATAAACACGAAGTGGCAGCATGCTCAAGCTTCGTCCTTTTCGTGGGACCGCTCCGCAGCAATATCGCAATGGGACAAGGGGATCGAAAGAAAGACCACAGCGGCGCGCATCTGTTGTGACAAAGCTGCTAGCAACCTCTGAAAAAGCGAAAGAGGCAATATCGAATCGCTCGGCATTGAGAAAATCCAAAGAAAAGAATGTAGGAGGCAGTGTTTATCGACCGCAACCCAATGAAAAGAAGGACCACGAATCTACGAAAACCGTAAAGAAGTGGATGCGACGCGTCCTTCCGAAAGAATTCTCCTCTCCGAGGCCCGATGGCAAGCCTGGTTTGTTCCCAAGAATACGAAAGACAACAAGTGCGAAGAAAAGCGATGGAAAATTATCTCCGACCGTCATTGCGTGCTGTAATACGGTCACGGATGAATCTTCTTCGAAATATAGCCGCAGCAAGAACGACGATAGTCCTCGTGAAATGATTCTAGCTGGGCCGTTGTCTTCGTTCGGTGACATTCTTCGATCCATCGAAAACAATGGCGCTACTTTGAGTACTATGAGGGCCGATTCGATTAGTAAAAGACACAACGAGAATATCTTTTTCGAAGACGACGATACTTGCGAGAGCGCAGAGGTTGCTGCGCAAACTGTTGCTGTCAACATCAAAAAGAGAGAACTCAAAAGCTCATGTTCTACAAGAAGTAGGAACGAAGGGCTTTGGGATATGCATTCAAAGGATTCGAAGCATGGCAAAGAAGAAGAACCACCAGTCATTCGTGAAGAACAGAAGAATTTATCTACTTCAAAAGCAGAGATTCTTAGCAAGCTCTTTCCGTTGAGAAATCAAAATACCTGCGAAACTGAAGAGACGCCAATAAATACTCTAATGCAAACAACAAAGCATGACGAAAAAGCAGTAGACAAAGAGAATGACGACCGAGAGATACATTTTAGTCAATTCCGAAGAGCAGATATTATCAGCTCATTGTTTCCCTTTGGTCATCCCGATGACAGGAAGAAGGAATGGCCAGTAGCCGAGTCAAATACTGAAACTTATGCCGAACGAAATGAAACCAACTGTTCGGATAGTTCTGTTATGGCTACATCTCCTCTTCATCAAACGGAGTCAGCAATGACTTCGAGGGAAATCGATGAGAAGCTTCGAGACGAAACAAATGAGAATGTTAACGATAGCCTTCGTCCTACTGAATCTGGAGAGCAAAATGAAGACAAATTTATTGGATTGGTCATTACTTTTGATCCTACATGGGATCTCCTCGTGCCAGATGAGTCAAATTTCTCGACAATAATGCCACGGTCGAGGCTCAAAAAGTTCCATGAGATTGAAAATTACACTGACTCTCTGCTCGGAAATTTCGCAGAAGACGAATTCTCTGAGGAGTCAATTGATTTGATTGCAGGACTTGATGAGAGCTTCGACACCGAGCCATCGTTTTCAAAAGACTTTGTAGCTCCGAAAAGCTTGAGCGGTAGCTTTGAATTAGGTTTTCATTTTGATCGTGAGCGATTTTCGAAGGTTGATCCTCTCCACGAGGAAGAAATTTGTTTTTATTCAGACGACGAATCATCGATCGAATCTAGGACTGCAAAGTGTCAAATGATCAATTTAGAGACAATGTCACAACTACAAAATGGAATTGAAATTTGCTTTCCAGCTGGAAAGAGAACGGAAGTAATATTCCGTCTCGTAGAATCGGACAACGCTGGTCAAGATGAAGATGTATGCTGCAGTACAACTACATCGGAAGAGTACACCGATTGTATTGAGTACGAGCAACAGGTTCCAGTGAACAACCATACAAATAGTCCTATACATAGCTCCACACAGAGCCCCATACCGATATTTGAGTCAACCCCAGAACTCCATTCACCTGTTCTCATCAAGGAGCTTACCGCTGCCAATCTATATTTGCCGCGTATAGTAAACAAAGATGCTTCCGATGAATCATCGCCAACAAATGAAGCTGAAATCGCAACACCGATATTTCAAACAGTACCGAATAAACATCTCAAAACACCACCACACGTTTACCCTGTGCTCTCGCCCCGTTCAGGAACGTCGACTTACTATTCTATCCTATCTAAGGACACCCCTGATTCACGTTATGAGGGAAAGGACGCATGCAAGATCCAGTTTTATGATGCAGTCATGGAAAAATCTCCCGCTATCCCTTCAAACTATCGCGACGTGCAAAATATTGATTCCTTTCACAGTCCTATGGGTGTTTGTAACTCAACATAGCTCCATATACAACAGCTTGAACTCTAAGATCCGGTTGGGCATTAAAAGCAAGGAATTCTTGTAGTGTTCCATTTTTATTTTTTGGAACCTCAAAGCAAACCATATGGACACTAATGTTTCTGTAAATTAAGGCATCTCGTCTAATCTGCCATCTGCATCAGATGACGCATTGTAATATTTTGATCACACCACATGAGTCACATATGCAGTAGACTGAGGGTATGTTATTACAGTAAAAATAATTTTATGCATTTTTTGAACTCGTGTGTGTTGTGTGTTATACACAAGCTGATGGAAGCTTCCCCTGTATACTCAATACAGTCAGCCATAAGAAACTAAGACTGTGTGTGCTGTGTTAACTTCTTCATAACTCTGTCCCAATTGCATGACTTTGGTTTTTTTAGTTTTCATGGTTTTTTAAAGAGAAATCCTATCTCAAACTGGGTAGAATACAGTGCAAATTCTACACAAAATAAGACTGAAATGAAGAAACAAGTATAAAACAAAGAAAGAATTATAAAAGAACTATGAAACCACTTTTCTAACAAGACTGAAACAAAGAAAAAAATGAAAAACAACTTTAATGCATGCCACTTTTCTACTCAATTCATTTATTCTGTCATAATTTCCAAACAAGAAAACACAAAACACTCCAAACCAAAACACCATAAATTATCACACAAACAGTCCTAGGCACCAACATAAAATTTTCATAACATCATGATGGATGAAAATGATTCTTTTTATGATGACAACAATTGTTCAGAAAGTACCAGTTTGGGTGCGAAATAAGACATGACAGCTTTTTAACAGTAGTAATTTTATGGTTCTCTACTTGTAGAACAATAGTCTTATTTTACACCCGGAACATAAAGCTGTCACTTAGTTCCACCTGGAACCAAAGATACTAATTTATATGGAAGTATTTTCTAATTTCGAGTACTTCTGAGCTCACTTTTTGAGAATTTGGATCGGCAAAATGAAATTGATTTCCTGACACTTGATATTGACATGGAATATAATTGAAATGGGAGTTGAAGAATTGATTCCAAGAACAGAATTCTCTTGAGGGAAAGAGAATTGAGGTCAGTGAAACAAAATCAATATCCAGACACTGCTATTTAACATGGAATATAATTGAAATCAGAATTGATTCAACAAATAGATTTCTCTTCTGTTGATGGAAACTGTTTTGAGAATTCTTTTGGGAATTCAGATCAGCAAAACAAATCAATTTCCAGGCACTACTTATTAACATGGAATAGAATCAAAATCAAAATTGATTCCAAGAACAGATTTCTCTTATACTTCAGCAACTTCACCAACAACCATTCCCTTCAAAACAACTATAAGACCACCTTTGTACTCATTCATTTTTCTGTCATAATTTCCAAACAAGAAAACACAAAATACTCCAAACCAAAATACTATAAACTATCACACAAACAGTTGTACTAAGCACCAAAATAAAATTATCATATCACCATGATGGATGATGATGATTCTTTTTATGATGATGGTAATTGTTTAGACAGTATTGATGCAAACCTATCTGATGATTGTTTTGGTCCAAACCCAAGCAGCAATCATCCTTCCCAAGAGGATGGAAGTGTTCTCAGTGGTGACGGTATGGGTTCTCTTGGAAGTGCTTCTGATGCCACCTATTCTGATGTGTCCTTTGATGAGATCCAAGAACTCCTTGACCATGACCTATCTGATTCATCTGATCTGGAACAAGATGAGCTGGACTATATTTGCCAGGACTCAATCTTCATGAGTCCCACCAAAAGGTTCCCTTTTGGTATGTGTAGGATGTTAGACAATGGTGGCAACAAAGAAGAACTCAACAATGACAATGGAGACAAAGACAAAGACAACGACGCAGGCAACAATGTCACCCATCACCAACCTMCTCGTGTGAGGAATCTTGTGCAATTGTTTGACCAAGCACATGGCACCAGCACTGGTCCAAGTCCACTAAAGAGGAAAAGGTCAGCAACTGTAAGAACTAGTAGTAGTGCTCCTGCTGGAAGTATCATTCATGATTATCTTCAACAAGAAAGAGTCAACTGGGTTTCCTTTGATGTTGAGACTGGTGGTAAAAGGTGTGGGATCCTTCAATTGTCTGCAGTTTTTTCATTATACTTATTTACAGTGATGACAAGAAGGATGCTGTAATAAGTAGAGTACATAGTGTAGTAGTAGTAGCAGCAGGTGGCAACATTTGGCAACACAAGTTATGAAAAAGTTAAAGGGTCATTAAGAGGCTTCTTTACAGTCATATAGAATCAGTTGAAATGGCACCACGACCAGCAGTAAGTGTAGGTACGCACATATGCTAAAACTTACAGTATGTACCTCATACCAATCATTTTTTGATTGTATGAGTCATAAGATCCAACCATATGGATTCAAACAGTCCCTGTAAGGTCCATTTGGTTTAGTTGAAGCAAATGATTGAGCTCAGAAGAACCGTGCCATACCTGCCTTACAATTGAAGAAGAATTGTACAATTGTATTGATCATTTAATCAAGCTAGTCAATTGATACGGACAAATTGTCAGATTTTTGTTGGTAACCTTTATCAGGGGCCCCAGTGCTATGGGGCGAGACCTTTTTGGCATCAAATGTACCAGCATTTTGCCTTCATACTAACAGTGTCATATACCAACTATTTTGTTAGTTCATTTTGGAATGGATACATGCACCTTCTGCAATGTACTTTGAAGAGTGCACCACCATTCAGTTTTGTGAGCAAATCAGCAGTGTTTTCAGTCCAAGGAATCTTTGCAATCCTGACAGCACCAGATGCAACGCTCTCCCTAGCCTTGTGGTATGGCCTTCATTGTCACATTACTGCTAGACATTGGTTGCACCATCTATAGGTACCCCCATCATCCTAAGTTTATATCTCAATCCTTAAATCATTTCAATTGCAATCCTCATGGCAACATTCTCAGAACCAGAAGTTGAGGTCTCAACTGTAGACTGCCTTTTGGAATACCATAGAATTGGTGCACGATAAAGATAGATCAGGATACCTGTGTGAGAGCACCTTGTAACTGTGCAACCTCCATGGTCAGCATCAACAAAACAACTCATTACCTCAGAGTTGCCCAAAGGTTCTGGCATATCTGGAGGCAACAATTCTTCAGCTCCAGGATAGAATTCAGATCAATCACAGTAGGAGAAATGATCATCACTAACTTCAGGTCTTGTGTCATCACTTGCATGAGTCATAGCTAAGATCCAACCATATGGATTCAATTGTATGCATGATTCAAACAAAACCAGTGGCCATTCTTCTGATTTTGGAAGCAGAGGGTAGTAGGGGCAATGCAGCTGCAAAGGAGCATGGGGAGGTGCAGGGTGGATTTGAGACATGTGTTGTTTGCCCATAGGGGGTGATGTCAGCAAGGGTGTTGGGGTGTTCTAAAAAAAATCTTAATATTATATTTAACCTCGTGAACTAGAAGAGGCACTAAATGGCCAGAACCATAGCTTTTGTTAGAAAGAATGCTTCTAGCTGCTCCAAGGGGCGGCACTTCTCTCCGAGGAGTTTTGGTGGAAATGCAACCAGGGGTTGGGTTCACTGAAATTAGAAGAATTGATTTAACTTGGTTTGGAGTAAACTGGAAGAATTGACGGGGGGAGCCAAATTATCTGGCATGACTGGTTGTTTGTGTTGCCACTCTTTGGAGTAGGCGTCAAAGACCAGTGAATCTTGTGTGACGCTCTCTGGTGGTTGTTTACTATGAGGCAGTGGAGCAAAGTACTGGGTAATAGGGTTGGTGTTGGAAGCCGAAGCACTCATAGTAGCTTGAGTGACACTCGCCAGAATTGATTTCTCCTAGATTCGATGACAATATGAGAGCATGGAGATAGGTGTCTGTATTAAGAAGGTTTCCATATCTTCTGGGAATAAGTGAGCATGGGACAGACAAGTCTGTGATTTCAATTCAAATAAGGTCTGAACTTTCATCACCACCCGCTGTTGATGCTTTGCTTGCTTTTGAGAAAGCATATGGCCATGGAGATTGTTTTTTTGCTGCTCCCATAGTGCTATATAGGAGGTGATGGGGTGTTTCTATATTGAGGCTGCATGTGCACGAGATTACGTGTACTCTTAGTATGTTTAAGTGTGTATGAAAATTGAAATTATAAGATTAAGATTACCGAGCGCGTTTACGAGAATTCCGAAGTTCCGATTAGAACCTCATGTAGACCTGGTAGGGAATCTACACGAGAGTTCTCTATTCCGGACTCGTGACATCTCTATTCTTCGTGAGGTATTCTCGAATAGTATCTTAGACCTCTCACGATCCTCAACTGAGGGATCGTATGATACATATATATGAATAGTATATTATGATATGTAGGTAGGAATGGTATGTCCTTCCATTCCGAGGGAGCATCGTATGTACGTATGCTTCCTTCTTAGTACGTACGTATGTATACTTCCGATACAGTACGTACGCATCTGTTGCAGCATGCTGCTGCACACAGTGCGTCTATGACGTCTGCCAGGTGTAATGTAAGGAGGTGCTGGCAGGGTTCTATGGTAAAGTAGGTACCACTTATGCACATGTCAGAGGGTGTAACAGTGTCAAGGAGTGTTTTGAGGTGTTGGACTATGGTTGTAACCAGACAGGGGATAGCCTGGCTTGCATGATTATGGACAGTGGCTAGGCAGTTGCTGTTCTTCTGATTTTTGAAGCAGAGGGTGGGGAAGGGTGGGGTCAAGGAAGATGTCATTGGCCCAGAGGGTGACGTCAACAAGTATAAGGGTGGTGGTGCAGCAGGCGGTGCCAGGAGGATGTTGGGTGTATTCACTGGGAAGGAGGAGGTAGAAGAAGGTGATGACCGCCATCTGGCCAATGGCAGACATCATCAGGCAGGGGTAGTTGATGCCAAGGGTGGTGAAGGAGGTAGTGTGGAAGCTGAAGGAAGGCAGCCAGGTGGTGGGTCACTTTGTGCAAAGCCAGCCAGAATTTGCTTCAGGGCTTTAGGGTAGGCCTCTTGGGAAAGTCCCAGCCGGCTTTGTTGGCCTGCCAGTTAGAGCGTCATGGAGATGACACAAAGCAAAACTTGGATGGTTGGGGTACAAACTTTGGGGAACTTTGGAGCTGCTACCAATGACTTGACTGGAATGCACATCAATGGCGTAGGCTGCCAGGACTGAGAGCTGTCAGGGTTATGAGGTGGGCAGGGCAGGGTTGAGTTGAGGGAAATTTGTTGCCAGCTATTTGCACCAAAGGTGCCAAAACCATGCAGTTGCTGCCATGACGCCAGTGGAGATGATGGCTGCATTGGAAGCACAGAAAAGAGCTTTGAGGTTGTGGAGGCAGGGAAGAGGTACTGTGTCCAGGCGCAATACTGTGGGAGAAGGGGGAGAGGGGTCTGGAGGTGAATGCGGAGAGGAACAAGACAGGGTCAGGCATACTAGGGGTGTGAGGCAAAGCCCACCATCACATTGTGGGCCCCCATGATGTGGTGGATGTCAAGGGGCGCAACCTGTTGGGAGCAGAGGTTTAAAGCAAGGGTGCAGATAAGGTGGGTGACTGGGGATGTGGCTGCGTGGAACTTGTTGGTCAAGTATACTGTAGCAAGGTTGTCTCACCAAATGGTGATGGTGAAGGTTTGCATTGTGGGAGTTGAGGTATGCGGTCAGTACCACCAAGACTTGGAGGATGCTTCCTGCAAGTTCGAGGTCACAGATGGTGAGGCTGCTTGGCCCTAGGTCCTGGAGGCAAGCAACAACATCCTGTGGCCATTGGATGAACCAGACAAAGGGGGGGAGGGCACAAGCACTGCTAAGCTGCCAACTCTCCAGCTGGAGGCATCAGCTAACCCTAGTAGCTTGGGAGATGGCAATGTTTGGACATGTCAGGGCAAGTTGAATGAGTGTTCATCAGTCATCAAGAAGGGCCTTCAGGGTTGTGGTGTGGAGCTTGGAGGCAGGTGCCTTTTGTGCTTTTGCCTTGAGGTGGTTGGTGGGGCAGAGGAGGGCTTTGCCACAAGTGATGGCAATACTGGCAAACTGGAGTTTGCCCTGTAGGATTTTGAAAGTTTTGAGGTAGACAATGGAGGGCATGCCAATTTCATGTAATAGTGCAAGGATGGATTCTTGTTTCTTTGGGGGGAGGCTGATGATGCAGGCAAAGTTATCAAACTGCCAACCTAGGGTTTCTTTGGAAGTGCCCCAGCAGCCTTCCTGGAGGACTTTCTTGTTGGAGACAGCTGGTCCCATGTTGTTGCTGGAGACATCCCATCCCAGCAATGTGTTGTCACTGGCGTGCAGCAGGTACCAGGCTACAGTTTGACAATGGCTGGGGTTTGAGGTAGTATGCACCATGGATATGAAGCCAACAATGTTGACTTCACAGCAGGTCAGAAGTGGTGATGGTGTGACAAGAAAGGGTGGTCCAGTCAAATGCCATGATGGTGTCCTCCATGGGGTTGAGGGTGACACTGGAGCTTAGTGTCGTGGTGGCAACATTGCATGCAGTTTTGTGGTGTGGCCGTGCAGAAGAAGGGGGGGTTCTTGCTCCAGCCCATTTGCAATGAGTCAGGGATGATGAGTTGAATGAGATCAGATACTTGTACGGTGGGGAGGATGCAGGCAAAGTTTCAGGAATCATTGGCATTGACAAGCATTCGTGCACCAGTAGCCATCCTTGAGGTCAAGTTTTGAGAAGAGGCCAGGAGTGCCCAGGCCATGGTGTTGACATGCCTTGGGACAACATGGCCCAGTTTGAACATTGCATGTTGGGGGGCCAGGGTTTTGTTGGAGGATTAATTGATGAAGGGGACTGTATGAGTGGGGAGTTGAAGTCAGAACAAGAGCTCAAGTATCATATGGTAAGCTTGGAATTTGTGGGGGGTGACTGCAATGGGGCTGACTTTTTATTTTTGATGGCATCCCAATCAATGATGTGGCAGCAGCCATCCTCAACTCTTGTAAGGGCTTTCAGCATGGCACGTGGCTGTAGTTTAGGGTGAATGGGCACTTGGATGTGAGCCTTGTATGACTGCAGCCTCAATTTCAGCCAGAGTCCAGTTTTGCCCTCATTCCACTGGGCAGCCCTGACAGGACTAGTTGAGGAGGAGTGGGGCATGGTTGCGCAGGTACATGAGGGTGACAAAGGGCAGGGACTTACCTTGGGGGGCTGCAAGTGGGTCTGTGTGTGTGTGGGGGGGGGGGGGGCATCATGTGGTAGGCTGCTGGGCTGTAGGCGATGGGGAGAAGGGTGTTGCGTTATGTTTGGTTGGGGCTACTATTGTGGGCTGGCACTTGATGTGCGGGGTTGGACATCCGGTAGGTGTGGTGAGGGGTGTGAGCATCTTGGGGGTGAAACAAGGTGGGAATAAACAGGGCATATGGTGCAAGGCTACAGACAAACTGGTGTCTTTAAGGTTAAAGGTTAGGGGTGGGCGCTGACTTACTGCTGGCAAGGCTGTTGGAAAAGGTGAAGTCATCTGGGCAGATGCTGAGACACATAGTGAAGGTTGTCAATTGGTTGCGGAATGTGTGGTGGCAATGGTGGGGAGGCGCTGGTTAGGTTTTTTGCAGGTGGCAATTATTTTTATGCATGCTGCTGGTGGTGGTACTAGTTCCTTAATGTGTGGGAGGGATCTGTTGTCTTTGCAGTCTGGCTGATTCTGTTTTGGGTGGATGCTCCTCAGTGTTTTATTTGTGTTGTGGTGGGGTGCTTTTGTGGGAGGGAGGGCAGAACATGGGGGTTTGGTGCTGGTGGCTTTGTGGAACATGCCACTAGTAGCAATGGAGGCAGCAATGGAGGCAGCAAGGGTGGCAGCAAGGGTGGCAAGATTTGTTTTGGGCGTTTTGCCAGTGACAACATAGGTTTCAGCAGTGGCGAGGAGGTGGAAGAAAAAGAAGGCTTCGGTGGCAATTCTTGTGAGTTGCCGAAGTAGCTCTGCCAAGATTTTCATTGAGGTAGGCACTAAAGGATAGCATTTTAAGGTGCTTAATTGTACCTCATTTTTTACCAAGTTTTTTATTTATTTTTTCAGTACTAGAAAGGCTCTGTCTTCAAAATACTTGTCTGTCAGTGAGTTGGCGATAATTTGCATGTGTGTATGATTCTACGGACTTCGTAATGTGTATTGATATTTTCTTTCATGTACTCGTACCGTGCGACACCACAGATAACTTCGTAATACACAATGACGGAGAACATTTCTCATTTTTCGTTTGTTTGTGCATTCCCGCGCCGGCTGTTCAAACACGTGTGGTACGTGGTCGTAAACCTGAACAAGCGGCAAGAACACGCAACGGCCTCAAGCCACAAGAACTCTCGTTCATTCCTTCTCCGCAGGAGAAATGTTCTGTTTGCTCATGAACAGGTGCTTCGTTCCTTATCCGCTGCTAGTGGATTATCCATCTACGACGCACAACCAAATCTCTCAGACCTCTTTCAGGATTCCAACAAACCCGCAAACAAAATAGCAGCTTCAAATTCTCCAACTTGTTCATATTACAATGATACAGGGATATCTCTTCTTCCTTTTGCTTTTGTGTGTGTTGAGTTATGACGCCATGGCATTCGTGGGACACGCGACATCCAGACAGCAGAGTACTACTTCGTTGGATGCCCTAGGACGCAGAGAGGCTTTCTTTGGCATTACATCCGCCCTGGTAGCCGGCACCACCCTGGTATATAATCCCGAAGCAGCTTCCGCCAAGTATTCGGATTATGCCCGACGCGAGAAGGATTGGCACGATCGAGGAGAGGCTGGGCAAATCAAGGTGTCGACAGCGAAAGACCTCCGAAGGCAACTAGCAGAAATCGTTCCCCAAAACTCGGAGGGGTCCAAGATCTTTTGCCCGAACGGCGCTTCGGCAGCCGTGAGTCCCCTGATGGAAAATAAGTGCAGCGATACCCTCATGGCGCTTCCCTCGGTCTACGGGCGAACACAAGACTCCATGGGAAACTCGATTCCCGGGTTTCAAAAGGGATACGACTGGTCTGCTAGCCAATCTTCCAGCATGTCAGCTGCCGTTGGAGGGTTCCCCAAATATTAAATCAGCGAGCAAAACGTCGTTAAGCCCGTGTTGTGCGTGCGTGATTGGAGAGAACGGCGGAGTTTCCCAATGGGGAAGTGAGATGAGAGCGGGATGATACACGCAATCACTTTCACAGGCTGGAGGTGACAGCCAGCTGAGAACTCTGCTTTTATGGGAGTAATCGGATGTCTCTGTTGCTGCAACAATTCGATTCTGATTACTTATCAATTTATATTGACTGGCTAATTCTGGTCGACATTTTTTGATTAAATGCAGAACAAAAATCCAATATAATTCTTTATTGTAGGTTGACTGATTGAATGACGCAAAAAAATGAATTTCATGATGGTATGCCAAGCGATTTTCTTCGTGTCTTTCCTAATTTTATAGATTCGATTATTACACATGAATTTGCGGTCGAAGGTTGTAGAGACACTCAGTAATGAAGAAACACGATCGATAAGAAATCTGGTCCCCAAGGACGTCTTTTTTATTCTTGTCCACTCTCAAACCTTTCGTTCGTCTGCACCGATATCATTCACATTGATGTTTCTCGAGTTTGTGACCTTTTCGCACTGCATAAGTACTGTTATCTCTTTCGGACCGGAAAACCTTGTCTTGACTCGATGAGGTTTATCGTCACTTCCGCAATTTTTTCGATGCCAAAAATGCGTTGACGTCGCTTGAGAGAACTTCAAGTAACTCCGACACCACTTTGATATGTCCGACAATGGTTCTTGTATGTGGCCAGAAGCGTTTTGGGGTTCTTTCTCGATCATTCATGTCAAACCCTTCCCTAGAACAGAAACAGAATTTATTAAGTACTGTATTACATCTTCGGATGCCTTGGAGATCTTTGCCATGACAACTTTTTCAATCACCATGCAGTTACCAATCAACTCCTGATGCTGTTCCTCCTGGCCATCCTCCACCATAACACTCTTAAAGACTGAGATAATTATGAAGCGAAAATACTTCTCTGTGTCGTCTTTTGTGACTTAAGTCAAGATCGATAAGTCATCCAAAGTTTCAACTCTGATAAAATGAAGGTATTATTCGTCCTTGTCTTCCTTGTTGTAGTCATCATCTCCCATAGACGATTCATCGGTCACGACTGACATTTCGTCAAAAAGTTTGAATTCAGCACCCGCGGACGACGAGGTAATGGTAGAACTGTCGCCGTCTTCACTCAGACCACTACCATCGTGATTGACATTGGCATCGAAAACTTCCTGCACTGTGGATAAGGTCTTCGTTTCTTCATCTTCGCATACTTTCCAATCCTTTTCGTCCCGTTGTTCCACAGCAGGAGGATGGTACTCGTCTTCCTTGGAATGAAATGGAACCGCATGATGATCATCGCAGGTTTCTTGTTCTTCCCACCACGGATTGTCCTTCGCGATCTTCGAGTAGCCCGCCATGATATCGTTCTTCATTTCCTCCTTTGGGGTAGTATTGTTGGCGTTCTCTTGGGTACGAGCAACAGTACACTCAATTTGTTTTGAGTTGTCTTCGAGATGAATTTTACCCAGAAAAGAAGGAAGACTGTGTTCATTTTGTTTAGACCAATATTTTTTGATCAATCGTGCTTCGAAGGAAGATGCACAACTCTCACTGTTTTGGATAATATCAAACATTGCGAACGGCTTAGCAGTTTGTAGCTTATTCGAGCGTGTGCAGGTTGCGCTGTTACTTTTTTGCTTTGGGGGTTTGGGTTTCTCCTTGGTTTCACCTAGTCGAGGTGTGCAACGAGTGCCAAGTGAATCTGATGCGCTACGGGTGAGGTCATTATGTGCTGAAACGAGCGACGACGACAAAAATGGGCAAAGGAACATCAGTTTGCGTCACGGCTTGGAAACAAAACCATATTAAAACCACAACGGACGTATACTTCAAAACGCCAACGCATTCGTTTCCAACTTACGACTGGCAAAATTGAAATCACCAATTACTCCATGACTGTCAAGAAAAAAGTTCAACGAACTATCCGGAATCGGGATAATTCGGTGTCGGTAAAATTAAGCTGATTTTTTTTTCTGATTTATGCTGAGACGGATTGATTCCTTATTCGTGTCAAAATCGGCACCGTGAAACTTTTGCGACGAAAGGGCAAACGTCACTAACAAGAACTTCAAACTTGAAGGGGATGAGAATATGGATAGTTCAAGCCATGAACTATCTCATCAGGTGAATGCGGAGATCTAAATAGAGCCAATGGTGTGGGTTTTGTTCTTCGGCATGTTTCGAAAGAAAAACTGTCACAGTATGGTACGAATGATGGTGTCGTTTGTCTTCAGTCACACAAAGCCAACCTAGGCGCAGTTGTTCCTAACTGCTACGGTACGGCACTTTAGCCTCGTCTTTCCTTCTTCCCTTATCGCTCTTGAGGGCCTCTTGGCACTGTGGTGCCGTATGTTCATACGTTTGTGGTCTGATATCATCAGGATCTAAGTGGTCAACTATTCAAACTTTCTAAGTGTTTGCCTAAATTAGGATTTGACTAATGTGATTAGATCTACATGTAAAATGTGTAATTGTCTGGGGTTCATGGGTTGGTATACACTGTTGACCTGCTATTAGTACTGTTTTGCCATGGGTTTGTTGTCTCCATTGGAACACGACCTACTACTTGTTGTTTGGTGGTAGGCCCATTGTTGTGTTTCAGCAAAACTGGGGAATGTGGGGTGTCAGTCCTAGTTCCTGTTGTCAGTGTCATTGGAGCTGTTGTCACTGTTGGAAATTGCCAGTGCTGTGGTTGCCTTGCAGCAGATCTCATATGTGGCAAGGATGCAGAGGTGATTGCAGTGCTCATATTGGCTTGGCTGGGCTGCATGGGCGCCGTTGTGCCAGACAGGAAACAGTTTGCTGTCAATTTTGGTCTGCATGACTTCTGTGGCATTGCCTGCCAGAGATATGAGGTGGTATTGGAGGACATTGCCAATGTGGTAGGCGTGCTGGATCTGTACTAACCTTGGGTTGTGATCTGGTCCAGGTTGTGTCTGGCCACAACTACTACTAAGAGGTGGTAGGGGGCATAGTACACGACCAAAGTGGTGTGGTGGCGGGTGTCACGTGGTATTGTGGAGTTGTCTTTGGTTATGGCTTGGCAGGCAATCTCCATGGCAACCGGATTAATGAGGCAGTTGGCTAGGTTGTTGCAATACATCTACCCAATGTATGAACATAAAATCAGAAAGATATATATATGGTTAACAAATTGAGTGAATTTGTCATCCTAGTAACCAATGAATTCATGAAAGAACTAAGCAATCAAGACTCAAATGAAGAAGCCAGTGTCAAGGATTATTGATCTGTTGAATGAGGATTGACCAAAAAGGATTAGTATGTAGAATTGTGCAGTTGATCAAAAAGCAATCCTTGGTCTCACAACCTTAAATTAGCTACCTTACTAATCAACCAACACCGATAAACTTACTCTAAAGTAGTATAGATTATCATGTCTGAATGGAAATTGCCAATTTAATGTCATCCGAGACGTGTATGAAATGATGTGGAGATAGAGCTTCACCCGAACACATAGTAAGCACAACACTGGATGAACCCTTATTATTTGTGTTTTGGTCCTGATGTTTTTCGGTGTGGCTGGCCTTGACTTTTAAGCGACGGATCTAATCAGCGAGGTTAAAAAGGACATTTATTTTGCTTTGCTCCTGATGAGGGGTTCGTTGGCAGACGGCCGCTTGGTGAAAAGTTGGCTATGCTGACACCTACAATGGTTTGCAGCTTGTGAAATTTTCCTCTTCGTCGACACCTTACAAATGATGGACCAATGGTATTGCTGATAGGTACGACAAATGACTGGTTGCTACCAGAGGATAGCGTATGTATTGTGTCAAAGCGGACAGTTTTGTCCCGGCGACCGTAGTCTCCGACAGGGGTTCGGTCCCTTTGATGTTTTGTGTCGTCTCTGCAATCGATATTCTCGACCTCAATCGCTGTCACATTCATAGGTTTCCGATCATGAATTGCGTTTGGGTTCAGCTTTGGATTACGGGAATCGTCAGTATTTGTAGCATCTGATTTCCACTTGCTCMGTCTCCGGCTTTTCCACCCTCGATGTTCCGTAGAAAATAGAGAACTTCTATTTGCAGTATGGCTCACGGTTGGGAAAGTTGAAATGGGAATATTCGTATCGCCGGTTTGGAAGTCGTAGAGGATAGAAATTTGCCAGGCGAACGATTCGTATTCATCGGTCCGCTCTCTCACCCTCGAGGCGAGCACTACCACCACGCGAATGCGACGAGTCGAGGATGGAACCGATCCGATGGCTTTGTTTGGCTGTAGAGACAAGGTTCGGAGCGTGCGTCAAAAATATTGCACCGTTTCAAAAACAGATCAGATTTCGTACCCTAATAATTTGCCTCTGGATATGGGAACCATCGCGTATGAGATTGCACGAAGTGCCCACCACAGGCACGATACCTCCGCCCGCCGTGCGTGCATCTCTGCTTGGCTAAACGAGCCACCAACCTAAAATGGCTTTGTAGAAGATTTTCCGGCATCTGTTGGCGTGTTCATGCTGCCTTTCTTCTTTTTGTTTTTCTTCCTCCTCTTCTTTGTGTTCGAGTGCTTCGCTTCACCGTCGTTCGCCCTCGCTTTCGGTGCGGCCTTGTCCGGCTTGGGTGTGGCCTCACTTTTCGCCACCGGCGGTGTTTGCACCGCCAAACCCGCGGCGGATTCTTCGAGCACGAGCCTGAGGTCCATCAGGACGGGGGACAGATCTTTCGGGAGGAGTGCGTCGTCGTCGTTGTTGTTCGAGGGGTCCGGTGCGTCAAAGACCGGCCTCGCCACGGGTCGGTACTCCTCCGAGATCCGCCGCTGGTAGATCTTGTCGGCCCGCCGGTCGTCCCACTGCTCCCGGAGGGCCTGCCGGGCCTTGAACTCGTGGACCAGGACCCTGGCCACGTCCCGGGGGATCTTCTTTGCGGATGGTTCACGGGAGCAGACGCGGCGGACGAGCCTCGCCGTGGCGAGCTCGAGGGCCCGCCAGTAGGCCTCGAGGGTCTTCATCGGCTTTTGCCACCAGGTGTGCATAATATCGTGCTGGATCCCCTGGAGCCAGTACTGGGCGATCCATTCCGATTCCAGCTCCGTCATGACCCTCTGGCAGTAGCGTACCACCTTGGCGTCCACCTCCGCCGCCGGATCGCTGCTGTCGCTGCTTCCGTCGATGGCCTCCAGCTGCCCGCGAAAGCGCTTCCGGGCGATCTTGGCCCGCTTGAGGATGTACTCGTAGGTGTCCTCTGCCGTGACGGCCACCCGGTGGGTGCTGCTGATGCGGTTGCTCTGGCTCCCGGCCAGGACGCAGTGCTGGTGGGTCTCGTTGAAGGATCCCAGCAGAAAGTAGGCGTCCCCGTCCTTGGTGTCGACGACGATCGGTCGGGCGGTGCTCCCGCCGTCCGGGGACGGCCGTAGAGCGATCCTCCAGTCCCACCGKGAGGACCGCTGCGTCGGCAGGCAGTGGTAGACCCCGATCGAGGAGCCGGGCTCGAGGGACGAGTCGGCGTGCCAGCTCACGGAGACCTTTCCCATGCCGTAGTCCGCCTCCTCCTTGAAGCCGACCCGGGTGTGGATCGTCGGTTCCATGTAGTTAATCAGGGTAAGGTTGTATTCGCAGTGCTGGTGGTCCTCGAACCGCCGGGTCATCCGGATCATGTCCCGGTTCATCTCCCCGATGGATTGCATCAGCGGCGACGCGCCCGGCCCGGACCAGGCGTGGGCGAAAAGACGGAGGCCCAGGTACTTGTAGGTGATCCCAGGGTTCCCAACGAGGGTCCTGCGGACAAAGGTCCGCGAGGAGTGTTTCCCCCCGGCCATGACCACATCGTACTGGTAGTAGTTCGCGTCACGCAGGCGCTCCAAGGTGTCCCGAGCCCGATCGTGGAAGCCCTCTGGCCGGAGGTCGTCCACCGAGCAATGGGCAAAGCCCTTGTAATGTTCTGCGACGTGTTTTTCGAAATTCGGATCGCTGGGCGTCAGAAAACGCGGCAGTGACGACGACGAGTAGGACGTTGTTGTTGTTGTTGTTGTTGTTGTTGTTGTTGTTTTTGTGGCTGTGTTTGTTGTTTTTGTTGCCGGGCGCGGCTGGGTGGATGCATCGCAGTTGTCTCTGCCCGATTCGCGCCTTCGTTTTCTCCCGCCGCCCTTGCTGCTTTTAGAGGCCATGTTGCTGTGTTTGGCGGAGATACTCTGTGGAGGGGACGAAAGAATATTAATCTAGAATCGTGATTCTTTTTTGGGTCTCACTTTGCGTCGTCGGAGGGCGATCAGAGGTTTTCTGTTTCCAACACGATGGGTTTGCCGTTTTTCGTTCACACACCCCCAGTCAGTGTCGTCGTTTTCTGTTTCAGTTTTTGTTTTTGTAGTATCGTACAGTACGGTACTCGAATCGGAATGGATGGTGGCGCATACGGTACGGTACGAAACATTGCAACGAGTGTGCGTTTTTTGGTCGAATGAGTCGTTCATTCGACGCATGGAACCGTGGCTTGTGACATATGACAGCCTTGTTCGCGCCAAAAGGTTTTGGAAACGGGGAAGCCACAGAGAAGGGAACCTACGAACGAATGAACAACCGCCCCTACGGTAGCGGTAGGTACGGTACCTCATGAGGAGGTACGAGTACGATACAGCAAAGTACGTACCGTATTCCCGCCCTTCCCTTGCGTCGCATCGCATTGGACCGAGTAAGTATCGTACTACTATTTCTGTATGTAATACGGTACCGTACCGTACGGTACGGTCGTGAAGTACATACGGTACTTCTACGAATTTTCATACTCAAAATCGTAACAACAGAACGAAAATCGTAAATCGTAAAATACAAAAAATTATTGGTACCGGTACGAACTGAGAAAACAACATCCGAACAGCAATCGTGTTATCGTACCGGTAAAGCAAGCAGTCTAACGAACTTAGTATTGTATCTGTACTGTACTGTACTGTACTGTACTGTCCAAACCCATTCGATCTATCTCGTAATCTGGCAGGGAAGGAGCAACAAAGCATCGGGAATCGCAGCGAGCAATATTGGCAGAGAAACACTCACAAACAAAACCAATATCCGAGATAGAGAGCAAGGGAGACAGATCCGGGCACCAAACCGCAACAAAATGGTCGCGATGGACCGACCGACCGTGGCAGCTCCCCCGCCACCGTATTTCAACGAGGAGGACATGATCGATGATTACTTCGACGTCCACGATGAAGACTTTGGCGGTCCGCCGCCGCCCCCTCCTTCGGCCGCGGACGCCGGAGCTGCCGCAAGCAAACACGCAAACACCAACGCAAAGGCACCTCCCGACGAGGACGAGTATTACAAAGACGCAGAAGAGGACGAGGACGAAGACCACTGGGAGGAAATGATGGCGATCGAGGTGGAGCGACAACAACAACAACAACAACAACAACAACAACAACAACAACAACAACAGGAGGCGTCCCCCGGAGAAGCAAGAGAAACCTTCGAAACCGCCTTTGCCGGGACGACTGCCGCCGCTGCTTCCCCGGACACCGAAAACGAATCCAGAGACGGCAACAGTGGAAGGAATGCCGACGACAGCGACGCATACACTACCGTGGAGGAATACCTGGCGGCTCGAAGGCAGGAAAACAATCTCTATAGTTTCGAACGGTAGGTGGCCAGTATTGTGGTCTCGTGACAATCACGTCGAGCGTGTTGGATAGACAGAGCGATGGGAGGGGTGCCCACGGCGAACCAATCCGCCGAAGGAACTTCCCCCCACCGGCCGATGCCATTCTTCGGTGCCGTGCAAGCGCTTTGATCCGAGAACGACGGCGTTCGTAAGCACACGATGCATTGCTGCGGAATTGCATTTCCACCACCACAGTACCGGACGGCATCACGTCGGATCCCATGCCTTGCCGAATGGGAGAAAGCACCACGATTTTGTGGTCTCGAATTCTATCGCATCCCATTTCATCAAATCGAATCAGATGAACTTGATCCCATGTCGATCAATGCAAATCAATCGACCTGGTTGTTTGTTTTGTTTCTCACACTCTTTCGTTGTTTGCCTGTTACCCGTCGTTTCCATCCCCGCATCCCCCAGCTACAAGACGACAACGAGCTGGAGGGAACCCACCCCGGGTCCCCCGGGCGAGCGGCGAAGCGCTCCGGCCAACCCCTTCAATCGGAAGCGCGAAGGCGTGGGCCTGGCGGCCCGTAAGAACTCGGCCCCCGAGGCCCGCCTCCTGCGGCTCCTGGAGGCCGGGGGGTCCTCCCCCGGGGGAGGGGGAGGAAGCCGCCTCTCGCAGTGCTCCCGGTCGTCCTCCGGCCGGACCAACGTCTTTGCCTTTCCGCCCAGCGGGGCCGTCTCCCCGACGGTCCCGGTGACGCTGTCGGGCGGCAAGCGGGTGTACGTTCGATGCGGAGGCATTAGCGGGAACCCCACGGCCCGGGTTGCCTCGCCGTCGCCCCGAAAGCCTTCCGCCGTCCTTGGGGTGAGCATGCGAGAGCTCCTGTGGAGGGTGGAGCGGGCGGAACGGAACCGCATTGTTTTGTCCCGGACCCGCGCTTCCTGGTCGGCAAGCGGGGACAAGACCCACGGCGGCCGCCACGACATGCTGTGGGTGGACAAGCACGCCCCCCGGTCTTTCCCGCACCTTCTGTCGAACGAGCGGACCAACCGGGAGGTTCTGAGGAGCCTGAGGGAATGGGATCCCTACGTCTTTGGAAAGGCGCCACCGCTGCGGCCGCTCTACCATCGCCAGAGAGAAGAAGAACAACAGCAGCAGCAGAGAAACGATGCTCTCGTCAAGGACAGTCAGGCCGCCAAGTCGTCCGACAAGCGTCCGGAGGAGAGCTCCAGGGTGATATTGCTGAGCGGTCCCCCGGGAGTCGGTGAGTAAAGCATCTCACGCGCGAAGTCGGAGGGCACTTGTTTCTGGTTTGATTTTACAGAACGGTGTCGCAACACAATCCCTCATGTTTTGTTTCTTTTTGTTTTGCTTCGTTTCGCATCTTCTGTTCTTTCGCTGTGTCATGATTTGAACGGGTCTTGCTGTGCTGCACCAAAGGCAAAACCACGCTGGCCCATATCGTTGCGCGCCACGCGGGATACCGTCCGGTGGAGGTTAACGCATCGGACGAGCGATCTTCGGGGGTTTTGAAGGACCGGATTCAGCGAGCCATGGAGTCCACGACCATCAACTTCAAACCCGGAAACACTGGTGCCGACGGGAACAACGCTGCGGACTACGGAAAACCAAACTGCCTCATCCTGGACGAAATCGACGGTGCGGATGCAAAGGGTGCCATTCAGGGACTGGTAGACATCGTTAAGGCCGAAATACCATCCAAAAGCAGCAAGCAAAAAAGCGGAACAACCTATTTACGACGTCCCATCATCTGTATCTGCAACCACAAGTACGCTCCGACCCTTAGGCCCTTGCTCCCGTACGCTACTCACTTCAGCGTCGAGCCTCCGTCGCCGGCAAGGCTGGTGGTCCGCCTTAAGGCTATCCTCAACCAGGAAAAAATGGCAATGATGGGGGGTGGACCACTCCTGCACCAGTTGGTCGTCTCGAGTGGTGGGGACATTCGGTCTTGCCTGTTCACGCTCCAGTTTGCGGCCGCTGAGGCAAAGAATTCCACGGATCTGTCTCAGGCCCTGGCAAAGTCTCTGTCCGGAACGGGGCTAAAAGACGACCGCAACGACATTACGTCGACGATATCGACCGTCTTTCGAAAAACGAAACCGAAACGAGCCCGGTTCTCCTCGAGTAAGCTGCTAGTGGGGTCTTCTTCGTCATCGAGGGACAGCGAGAACAGAGCCAGTGTCTCGCGTGTGATGGCCGCCGTGGAAGGCCTGGGAGACAACTCCGCGGCGATCAACGCGCTCTTCCTGAACGTTCCGAGGGTTTCCTACATCGATCCTGCCTTTGACCGGTGCTCGGCAGCCCTCGAGCTGATATCCTTTGCGGTCGACGCGAATCAGCAGCAGTCGGGGTACGCTCTCCCGGTCGTCACCGCGGGCATCCACCTCCTCTGCCGGGTCGAGGTCAAGCCGGACCTGACCTTTTCCTCCCGCGAGCTCGCGGACATGAAGTACAGCCGCGACTCAAACCTTGGGCTGGTACAGAGGTTTTCCGAGGGCCTCCCGCCGGGTGCTAAGAACCTCAAGTGCCGCGCCCTGCTCTCGGAGGAATTCATCCCGCTGACCATGTGGATCCTGTCGGCCGGGGAGGGGGCCTGCTCCCTGTCCCGGCCGGCGTCGTCGATCGACATTCTCACCAGCCCGGAGCAGGAGGCCGCGAAGAGGCACGTGTCGTCGCTGTGCGCGCTGGGCCTCACGTATGTTGTCGACCGCGAAAAAGAAGAAACCAAAGAACGGGTGTCTTCGTTCCGGGCGAGCGTCCGCGAGATGCGAATGGAACCACCGATCCACCGGCTGGTGGAGTACTCCTCCCAGATTCCACCCGGCCGGGCGTCCCGGAACGAGATCCCAGCACAACTGAAGGAATTGCTCGCGCACCAGGTCCTCCTAGAGGGATTCCGCAACCGGGAATCACCGAGGGCGTCCGGATCTCCCGTGAAGAAGAAAGCCGGAATCGCTGCTGCCGAAAGCAGCAAAACTCCCGTAACGAATGGTGCCGAGCCAACGACAACGACGGAGGAAACCTCTGTTGTCACCCCCGCAAAGGTCACTCCGAGGAAGCTAGACCAATGGTCCCGACCTACGGGTTTGACTTTGACCGAGTCGAAAGAGGTGAAGGTATGCCAAGCATTTCTCGCCGTTTTGCGAAACACGGCAGTGGTGAATTTTTCGGTGTCAAAAATCCTGGTGGGAAATCTTACTTTTTCGATTTTTCTTTCATTTTCGTGACTTTGTTGCCTTCTGCCCCATTTCTTCCAGGCGTCGCCGTCCTCCACCCCAGGCAATTTCTTGGGCATTGCCGCGAGGAAGGGAAAGGCGGCCAAATCGGCCCGCCGCGCGGCCCGCCTGGGATTGAATCGTGCGTCTTCGAAGAAACAAAAGCTAGCCCACTCGGGCAGTGGGTTCCTCCTGAGCCACGTCGTCCGGATGAAATACGTCAAGGGTTTTACCCAGGCGGTCCGGACACCATGCCGACTGAGCGATCTGGAATAGAAGGAATTCACTGACGAAATCCAACACCGGAGGCACGCTAGAAAGACCAAGGTATGATAACGCAAAACGCACACTAGATATATCAATGTTGAAGCAGGCAAAACCATATGTAGGAAATAATCTAGACAAAGCGCTGCTCGCAACAAAACGAAACGATCGTTGTCCATACCAATATCAGTCCGTTCCGAACACATGCTCGCTTCGGAGCACCACGGAAAATTGGTTCGGGAACTTCTTGCCTTTGTTGCGGATGATCTCCCTGGTAAACACCGGATCCAGCTGGCGGGCCGGTCTGGATTCTTCGCCGCCGCCGTCCTTTTCCTCCGGGGGCCGCTCGAGCACGAAGAAGGCTACCCGCGGGCTCTCCCGGGTCGAGACGACCCGAAAGCCGACTCCCTTCTCCCCAAGCATCTTTTTGAAGAGGCCGTGCGTCAGAAAGGCCGATTTGGTCAGACAGAACTTGGGGACCGTAAAGAAGCACAGCCCCCCGGGCCGGAGCTGGTGGTAGAGCAGCGCCAGCATCTTCCCCCGGTCCACGGCCGTCGTGACACAGTTCAGGACCATCGAGCACACAATGACGTCGTAGCGTTCCTCCCGGTCGGGGTGGACGAGTGGGAGCTCCAGAAAGTCGGCCTCCTCTATGCGCTCCTCCATCGAGTGGATGTCGATGGCCCGGACATGGATGTTCTTGGCCGCGGCGCCGGTGGACCGCGGGGTGGCCCCGCTCGCATCCGCCGCTTTCCGAGGGGACGGACGTGCGGTGGCTGCCGCTGCAGGGATTCCCGCCGCGTCCAGGAGCTCCGTGTTGATCGCCCCGACCTCGAGGATCCTTGTGGTGCGCCGCCTCGCGCTCTGCTTTCTCCGCTCGCGCCTCGTGGAACCGCCGCTCTCGTCCAAGGCCTGTTTCTTGATCCCGTACAGCCATCCGTTGTTGGCCAGGTGCCCCAGGACCCACCGGGAGGTCGAGTGGAAGGAGGTGCTCAGCTGGCTGGCCCGCTGGTACTCCGGCCGCCCGCCCATTTCCTCCAGGCTCCGCTCGCAGGACCGGGCCTTGTCGGCGTCGCCCTCCTTGAGTGCCTGGTCTCGCTCCTTGGTCAGCTTGTGGAACATCGTCGTGACCCGCCGGGCCCGTTTCCGGGACGTCATGGGTCGGAGGAGGCCAGGGGCCGCGAGGGGGATGGGGCGGCCGCGCTTCTTGTTCGGCATGGTTCTTTCTTCCCGTTTTTTCGGAAGACTAGGAGAGCAGCAGTTACGGAGGAGATCTCGAAGGCTGCAAACCAATAGTGAACACACTCTTCGTTCTTGGTCAGATGTTGGTGTTGCTTCGAGAGCCAAAATTGGACTTTGTTTCAGGTGAACAAAATTCGAACAGAAGAAAAAAAAATACAGCATCTGGTGGCTCATCGAGTTTGTTTCGGAGCGGGAACAGGAACAGCTTTATTTCGGGGACTGGTCGTAACCGTTGAGCAGCTCAACATATTACCATGAACATACGGTACGTACGTACGTACGTACGTACTGAGGGGCAGTTTGTTACAACAATGGTACTTCCTCTGTCCCTCAATGATTGTACCCTAACACCTTTACTACTACTAGAATAAGCTCAATATTTGGGCAATTAGAATGCTTCTTTTTCTACTTCATAGATCTATTATAGAAGTATACAGTCATATAGATTTTATATAGTAGTCAAAGAGTCTAACGTACTTGCAATAGCTACTGAAAGGGACACCATTTTAGCATATGATTTTCAGTTTACGGGTTGAAAGGGTTCTACTGGTCATTGAAAGACTGGACATGGAGCAATAGTAAGCTAGTCTTGTGTATTTTATCAAGCAATAATAAGTGTTTGTCACAGGAACATTCTTATGCAGTCTTAGTCGGTCACTAGAGGAAGCAAAAAACGGCTCCGGGCGCATGCAGTTTTCGTCATTTTTAGTGACACTTGATTGATGATGCAATTTGGACATAGTTTCGGAACAGTATTCAGGACAATGAGAAGAGATTTGATCCATAAAGGGGAGGATTGTGATAGAGTTGTAGTAGAACAAGAGCATAATAACATAACTGCAGGAGGAAACACCATTGGCCCTCCACAGCAGAGGAAGCCCTGCCAAGTGTTTCTAAGTGGTAATTTGTATCTGCATTATGGGTTGTTTGATGCTTCCACACTGTATCAACAATTTGCTGGAGCAAAAATAACAACATAAGTTTTTTAATTGAACCGTAAAGCAGTCAACTTTGAAATGGTTGTGCTCCTACCAGAGTCCCAAAACTTCAAATGTTCCACAAGCAGACAGATCCACATTGTTCACAACCAATCACAACCAATCACAACTGGTTGGTTTCAAAGCGCAAAGAAATATCAGACTTTCTAAAGTTTCAAATGTGACCAAATTGGGGTGAAAGCAATGGGTTTGCATAGGCACGTGATTGCAAAATACTTGGATCTGTATTCTGAAAAAAAGAGGTTGCGACAGTATGTGACGATGATAGGGTGCAATCACTGTTTGTAACGCCACCATAGGATATTGGATATTGTTGTCTACTACATTGACTAATTGATCTTGAACCAGTATTTTCATATCGGTGTAGTATCTCTTGTTGTATTCCATTTTCCAGCATGGTGATATGTCTTTGAGTGGTTGTGGTACTAGCTTGGTGTACTAGTGCTCCTTGTCTGTGCATTCTTGTGGTTGAGAAACATGCAGTATAGTTAGTAGTACTAGTAACTTGAGCTTGTGAACGTCACACAAACCGGATCTATGGTACTGCGCGTTTCACGCGGTTGACACCATCGAAGTTTCAGGGTCAACCCTTAGTCTTTCGTGATTGGATAATAGTTTACAAAATCCCCGCACAACTTCATATATCCAGAACATGTTTCCGAAAACCAGCATAATTTACTTCCAAAGCATGAGAAAACTCATCATCTGCTTGGAACTTAGCTTTGTTCTTTATCATGCCCCCCCCTAAGCTAAAGGTATTCTGTCAAAACTGTTACGGCTCAAGAGATCGGAAGAACCAATGTCCCGTTTTTTACAGTGCCAAGCATGACAAAAAATCCGGCGTTATCACGTCACCGAAGCTACTCACTCATCTTAATCTCAGCAAGGATTGCTTTGAATATTACGTGTATGTTGGGGACGGGACCCACGACTTCAGTTCGTCGTTGTTCAAAACTTCTAAGGAAAAGATTAGCTTTAGCCAGCGGTTTAGTTTAACTAATACCCAGGACGGACCATCTAGTGGCATGCCGCAGAATCTCGACGACCAAGTTATGTACAACCCATCCGTGGAAGTAGTTGATCGTGKGTTAATAGACGCTGCAATGGAATCCGTTGATTCTGATCTGGACGATAATTTTTTCGACGAACCCGCTAATCAGGAGGAGTGCTCTGACTCGGCTCTCGTTGATGTAATAAAAACACCATTCRAATATMGATTGTTACSYCCCTCAACTAAGGTCAAAATTAAGTTAATGAAGATCATGAGAGACCACAATATACCCTTAGTCGCCGAGAGGGAGCTTTATGAATGGGCTATCGAATGTGAGAGGTTGTCAGGTTTTACCTGGAGTACTGGATCCAGTTTGATCAAAACTCGCCAATCTGTTCTAGAAGAATGCTACCAAGCAGTTCCTGAACTACGCGGTGATTGTTTTACACCGCAGCTTATTGAATGGCGTTCTAACAACAAAGTCGGCGACAAAGTAATCTATGTAAGATCCTTTAGACGAGCATTGCAGTCCCTCTTGACCAATGTTTCATTAATCAAAGAAGAAAATTTATCTTTTCCCAATGAAAA